GATGTGGTCTGGACATACCACCAAGTGGACTCAGACTGGGAGTCCATTTCCTTGGACAAAATAAAGTCCTTCTCAAGGACAGCGTCCCTTCCCTACGCCCTAACTCCTTCCTAACCACCTTATCCAGAATTATTTCTGGTTCATTCGTTTCCTCAGCAATCCTATTCATTCAACTATAATCGACTGGCATTCGTTCATTCTATGCCATCCTTTTTGCCCCTGTAGGATCCAAGTCTGGGAGTGTTCCTCAAAACTCCACTGGGAGGTGCCTACCTCCGTCAGACCAGATCTCAGGCGAGCTTCGGAGAAGGAAGATGTCTGGTCTGAGGACATTCAGCCGAATAGGAGGAGGCCTGAAAACAGCTAATTATCCATCAAAGAAATCATGTTCTAACGATAGGCTTGTTCTCAGCAAGCACCACCGTCCTCCACAGCAAGTCTGATAATTGGATCAAAAGACCTCAGAGGCTCTCAGGGGCTGGGGTGAGAGATGGAAATGCACTTTATGTGGCTTTCCCTAATGTAATCATCAGTTAAGGGGATGGCAAGGAGCTTAACAAGCTCATTACAACCTCAGCGCCTGTGATCTCTGCACATGCCCCCATGGCAGCCGCCAGATAAAATGCCCTTCAAGGGCTTGCTAGGCCTTGGCCCGAGCCCGTGCTGTTTGCATTCTGCCCCCACCTAAAGGCAGCTGGCGTCTCCATTACCAGCTGCTGGGCCACATGAAAAATAAGCCAGGAGTGGGTCCAAACATGTTCCTGGGTTAACAACGAGTGTTTTCTTAATCTGGGTGTGGAGAAAGGAAAGCCAAACTCAGATTTGGGTAATCCTGTGTATCAACCTAATTTTTCCAGCTGTTCTGCTCTGCTTTCTGAATCACCATCCTTCTGCTCGTGATTTCTCTAAAGCTCATGCCTGGGTCTGTTTCAGGGAACCGCTGGTCTGGCTCCGTGCCTCCGGCCCATACAAGTTGCACATGGCGCTGCAGAGGGCCAGAGCCCCTGGTTTGGGAGATACAGGCCATTCCTGAGACTAGCACTTCGGGCCCTAGAAGTTCATCTCCTCCTCCCTCAGGGAGGGTGTTGCTTTATTAGTGACTAACGCTTTGGCTCATGGGGAGGTTTCTGGGGTCCAGCATAGTTCTCCTGTAAATGACCTAGATTGCCCCTTAAGGCAATTTGAATAAGGCAGCATTCACAGAGAATGCAATGCACATGGTGCCCGTTGTGATACAAGATGGGGACACTGACTGAAGGGACCGGGAGAGGTAGGGCAGTCAGAGGAGGCACCTGACGAGGTGGGAGGAGAGGGGGACGGAGGGCGGGAAAGCAATTTCAGCCTATCCCGAGCCAGTTTTATATGTGGTTTCAGGGAAGCTGCTCCTTTAAGAGAAATAAAAGTAACCTGAGTTCTACTCATACAGTGTTAAATTGAAACCTCACCCATATTAGAATCCTGTAACGTGTGACTCTGGCCACCACTCACACTCAAGACCAGACGACATCTACCATCGATCCATGTAATAGTTTCCTCCACCCAAGGGAACTCTACCATTGATGTTAAAAGTACACAAATTTAAAATTCAAATCCTGGCTTTATCACCGCAGGCATTCCTTCCTTGGCCCAATCGGTATATTCTCCACAAGTTCTGGGTAGATCAAATTTTTGTAAGTCAAACCATATTTCAAATTTAGTAGGTGAATCTACTATCAAGCAAACAATTACCCCTGAATTTATCTGCTCTTTAAATCTTCATTTCCATTTGTTTGATTTCTTGAAAGGGATGCAGCTATGACCAGGATTAGTCATTGAAATAGGAATGTCAGCAGGGAAAGGTACCCCAGGCCAACCCCTGAGAATGATGTCCAGAATTCAACTAAGTTGAAGGAAAACTTTTCTAAACAAAACGGGAACTGTGTCCCTACTGAAATAATACTCTTGGGAAAGACAAGACTTTAGGCCCTACCTGTTATTGATACTATAATGTAGATTAATTAAGAGACCTTTGTTTGCAGAAACTTTGGTTGGGGAGAGGGGATGGAAAAGCCATGAAGTTGTATGTTTCTTGAAGTACAGGGAGATAGCATGGAATAAAAAGAGGGGAAAACACAGAAATGGGAAGACTAGGTAGCCAAAGGCAGTTCAGTCAACCCACCAACTTGACCTGGAGCTCAGACCTGACTTGAGTCTTCCATTCCTAGTTTGTGCAGTGCGAGTGGAGGTGTAGGAAAAGGAAGAAAACGTCTAGGCTGGGTTACTGTCAAGACCAACCTTTAAACCACTATAAAGCACATGAAGACTGGAGAAGAAATACTACACATTTAATAACAGCACAGGAGATTCAATGGAATTGTAATAGATAAGCATGATATCGGGGGTGGGAGGGCAATAGATGGGGGGAGGGGGGTTGTTACTTTGTGAGGGTGAAAAGGGTAACTATTGCATTGTTCTGTACACCTGAAACTAACAATAAA